GGGCGGGCGGGCGCGTGCGTGCGTGCGTGTTGGACTGGTCCAAATGCTGGGTCCCCCGTCGCCAGGTAGATGAGCACAGTCGAGGCATCGGCGCATGTTTTCCTCTGCTCCTCTGAAGGCGCAACCAACACCGAGGCTTCAGCCAAGTCTTGGAATGCGCGGCAGGCATATTTCAACGAGCTCCAGCGCACTATTCGAATCGACTTTGGCTTTGAAAATTTCAACTTCAAGTCGGGCACGTTGTTGAATTTCAGTGTGATTTTTGGAGAGGCAGGTGTTGGTCGATAGACGCGATTTTCCAGCTCGAGTGTGATCTTAAAAGAGGTAGCACGCGCGACCGCACGCGTCACTCGCACGTACCAACTTTCGGCGTTGTTAGGCCCTGAGCCACACGTGACTTGAACTTTCCCGCCGAAACTCACACCCTGGAATCTAGCTCGATGCTTCGCCTCTCGACTGGACTCGATTCCTGTGGTATGGATCGATTCTGTGTGTGGTTCTCATGTCGACGCTGATGATCATGAATTGACACTCCGTGGTGCGCCAGGACCGAGCGGAGGACGCGGACGAGGGCCGCGCGGCGCCAAATAGCATGCCTCTGGTTGGCTCTACGCATCGGAAGACGGGCGAGAAAATCCCGGCCATTTTTATCCCCCCCACGGGCCAACTCGACTCGAACAGCATCTGTACACCGACCGCTTTACTGAGTGCTCGAGAGTCTTGATTTGACTGCCATTCGGCACCAGTGCCTCGATGGACTGTGCTTCTTAGGATTATTGATCAGGTCGGTCGTTGGGAGTATGGTCAGAGAAGGGATCGCTGGGGGCCGATTGAGTGCCGGTCACATATTCAGCCGGTGCACGCCAGGCTGCGTACAATTCGGGTTTGAGGAGAAATTTCGTACGCAGCAAAAAGGCACTGAAGCGTGGAGCGCACAAGGCCTTTTTTTGGTGTGGGTGTGTGCGCGTTTTTGCTGTCGCTGCTGCTTACTGCTGCTGCTGCTGCTGGCTTGAGCGGCCAAATGGCCATTTTGAGCCACAAAGCTCATCACGAGTGGAGAGATCCGAACTGCAAACGATAGCCGCAACTCTTGTGTCTCCTTCAATCTCTCTCACCATCTCCATCAAACTCGTCATCATCGTCATTGTGGCCATCGTCAACCTTCGCAAACACTCCCTCGCACCATCGAGCTGAGCCGGCGTCAGTGTCTGTCTCTCCATCGGCAGTCGGTGGTCGTACCTCGTTTCCGACCAAGTGATAGAGACGCCTGCCCGCAGAACAAGCGCTGCCCAGCATGACTCCAGCCGGTGTAAACTCGTCACAGGCAGCGAACACTGCAGCACCAAGCTCCAGCCGGCCTGCTGCCACCGATGCCGAACCGCCAGAAACGCGCGGCCCCAGTGCTTCCAGTTCGGCCGCCTCGGGGTCTTCAAAACCCGTCGCCGCCTCGGCCGCTGCCAAGGCGTCCTCTGACGCTCCTTCGCGGCTCGGCTCCAACTTTTGGTCTTCTTGGATCTCGCCCTCGTCCTCTTCCGCCGTTGCTGCCTCGTCGGCAATGGAGAAGCGTTCCAAACCGCGCAGGCCTTCCTTCGAGGAGTTCCGTGCCGAGGAGCCGCCTCAGGCTCGACTCATCCGTCTGCGCGGACTCTTCGACACCCTCTTGGACGAGGACGATGAACAGGCTCTCGCAGGCGGTAGGGCTAGGGAAGAGTGGATGAAGTCGGCCCGCCGTGCACGTTATGGCGCCGGCGGAAGCCTCGCTCGTGGCAGTCTTGCGCCATCCGACATCCGCAACTCCACCGTCGGATTTGAGGCTTGCACCATGTCCGAACACGCGGAAGCCTCCTCCTCTTCTTCCTCACCTTCAGCTTCGACATCTTCTACATCGACACCGTCAGCCTCTGCCAAGTCTCCCACCGCAGATTCCAAGCTCCCATCGCCTCCGCCTCCGCCACGACAATCCTACGCCAAGGAACTCCTCAATCAGTGCCGCCAATGTCGCGAGGACCTCGAGGCTCAGCGCGCACGCCTGGCCGAGGAACAAGCTAAGCGCGCATCCGACCCGGGCTGGACCTCTTCCTGGGGCCTACCCACCTGGCTTGGAGGCACCGACCCGGCGAATCAGGACGCCGATGCATCGCCGAAAGGAACCCTCGCCAATGTCAAGGATAAGATCTTGTCAACATCCGTCACCTCGACCACCCAGCAGGATTCGTCTCAACGTCCGTCGTCAACATCGATCGCCACCTCGCTCGGCTCCTACTTGGGCTACGGCGGCGACAGCTGCTCCAAAGATGCAAAGTCTGCCGAGTTCGGCCACAACCCACCAGACATGGAGCATGAAGCCGGCTGGACAGGTAGCGGTGTCTGGGGCCTCTCGGCGGTCGGACATAAAAAGCGCGCCGCCGATCGCGACCGCGACGAAAAAGTCCGTCGCGGCCAAAAGGTCGACGACGACGGCGGCGCTCGACAGCGCCAGATTGAATGGGAGGGCTTCCTCGCCTACGCCGAGAACAAGGAGCGCGAGCTCTACAAGCTCTTTGTCGAGATGGACAAGAACTGCGACATGAAGCTCGACGTCCAAGAGATCCGCGGCGCACTGGACCGAGCCGGCATCGACGTGCCGCAGATCTCGCTCGACGACTTTATCGCCTCGCTCACCAGCACGCGTCCATCGGCCCACGCCAGCGGCGAGAAGACCTACGTCTCCTTCCCAGAGTTCCGCGACTACCTGCTGCTGCTCCCTCGCAAGCCCTCGGTTTCGGAGATCTTCCGTTTCTATCAGGTGCGCAAGGCCTTCGGCCTGTTTGGCATGGGCGGCATCTTTGCCGAACTCGCCGTGGGCTGGGGCAAGACCGAACGTGGCGCCGCCGTTGTCAACTTTGACGGAGACGTCAGTCTGGCTGGCGAGGAGAAGAAGCGCGAGTCGCCCGCCGTCAAGGAAGCCAAGAGGGCCGAAAAGATCGGCAAGCGCCAAGAGGCTGCTGCGGCCGCGGCCAGCAAAGCTGTCGAAGCGTCTGCCGAGGACGGCACTACCGCGAGCCCGGCCACCTCGTCCAGCACTGCTGACGTCGAAGGCACCAAGGAGAAGGCGGCGCAAGAAGCGGCCGCCGCTGCAAAGGCAGCATCCGAGGAGGAGTTGACCGAAGAGGAAGAGGAAGACGACAACGACATGATCCAAGGTGCGGTGGCGCTCAAGTTCCTGGTGGCCGGTGGAATTGCCGGTGCCGTGTCACGCACAGCGACCGCTCCTTTCGACCGTCTCAAGATCTACCTCATCACCACCGCTCGCGCTCCGGACGTGGCTGAAGCTGCCAAGGCGGCTGCCTCGGGGCAGGCTGGCGCCAACGGTGCGGCCGCCAAGGCTGCTGGACAGGGTCTGGGCATCCTCAGGGAGGCGCTTGGCAACCTGTATCGCGACGGCGGTGGCCTGAGGGCGTTCTGGGTGGGCAACGGCCTGAACTGTCTCAAGATCTTCCCGGAAAGTGCGATCAAGTTCCTGTCGTACGAAACAGCCAAGCGCGCATTTGCCAAGTATGTCGACCATGTGTCGGACTCTCGCGACATTTCGGGGACGAGCCGATTCCTGTCGGGAGGTATCGGTGGTATCACGTCGCAGCTGGCGATTTATCCGGTAGAGACACTCAAGACGCGACTCATGTCGTCGCAGAACGCCAAGACGTCGCTGCAGGGCAATGCTTTGTTGGTCAAGACGGCTCGGGATATGTGGCAGGCGGGAGGGATGCGCACGTACTATCGCGGACTTACGGCGGGATTGATTGGCGTCTTCCCGTACTCGGCGATTGACATGTCGACATTCGAAGGCATCAAGCTGTTCTACATCAAGTATACGGGCAAGGAGGAGCCGGGTGTGTTGGCGCTGCTTTCGTTCGGATCCGTCTCGGGCTCGGTTGGTGCCACGACGGTGTATCCGCTCAACCTGATCAGGACGAGGCTGCAGGCAGCTGGAACGCCGGCTCATCCGGCTACGTACGATGGATTCTGGGACGCTGCGAAAAAGACCTACGTCCGCGAAGGATTCGTCGGCTTCTACCGTGGCTTGGTACCCACGCTGGCCAAGGTCGTCCCCGCCGTCAGCATCAGCTACGTCGTGTACGAGCAGAGCAAGAAAAGGCTAGGTGTCCAGTAGCCCGCACCGCATTTAGTGTTGCAATAGATGAACCATCCTTGAAACCCGACGACTGTGCGAAATGTGCGATGGACAGCGGGCTCATCCTGAGGGCTTAAATCGCACAGAAGCTCGCGGAGATATTGCGAAGCACAACACTCGCCTCGACAGCGTTCGATTTGAGAGACTGAGAACAGATGATGCGCTCATGCGATTGCAATGACACGGATGCGGGGGGTGTGCTACTCTAAACCCAGACTCTTCCTCGCCTCGTCTAGGCGGGGCCGCACCCAAACTGAGCCGGACATTTCGATGGCGGCATGAACGGCATTGTTGCCCTTGTCCAGCATCTCCTTGCGGTGTTCTTCGATCCAATCGGCCAGCTTGAGTCCCTCCAGTTCCGCCTCGACACTGGCGCGTTGAGGGATGCTCTCTACCACGCACCGCGAAAGCACCCATGCAAGCAGTTCGGGCGTCGACCGCGCAAAGCGGTACAACAAGCGCGCGGGCGACGGAAGTCCAGCCACCGCGTCAACCTTGGGCGAAGTTCGGCCTGACGAAGGACCTACGGAGCCTACGGAGCTCTCGGGCGTAGCGGCTGCTGCTGCACTCGACGAGCCACTGCCGACACACGAGCCACAGCACGACGATGCATCGTCTGCACCGCTCTCGCCCACGCCCCATGCCGAGTGTCCACCGTCGTGCGAGCACAGTGCGGGCGACGGTTCCGGCTCCGCAAGCGCATCGTTCAACAACGGCTCCAGATCGACACTGTACGCAAATGCATCCCACGGCATCCCAGCCACGCCGACACTCGCAGCATCCGACCCGGCGTGTGCGGCAAAGTAATCGGCTCCGCCTGCATTCGCAGCGCCAGCGCCAGTACCCGCTCGAGACTTGCGCGTGACCAAACGGCTGATCCGATCGAGGAATGCCTTCTGGCCACGCCCCAGCAGCGTTTCGCGGATAGACGCATCCTCGACGCCATCGCGCAGCGCAAACGCGCGGATGAGGTTGCATCCAAGCGCCCACAGGTCACCCGAAGGCCCCATGCGTCTGCCCATCGGGCCTGGACATGCCTCGGGCGGAATCCAATCGTAGCTCACCAGCTGCACCTGTCCATCACCACCCGGGATGCCCCGATACGGATTCGCATTCTCGTAGTCGATGACGACGAGCGCGCCGTTCTCGTCAAACATGAGGTTCTCGAGCTTGACGTCGCCGTGCATCCAGCCGGATGCGTGGAAGCGCGCCAGCGTGCGGATGGCCTGAACGAACAGGTTGAGAATGACGCCGTTCAGCTCAGCCTCTTCGCAGCCGGCGATTACAAAGAACGCCTCCTCGGGATAGTCTTCCTCCAGCCGAACGTAGCGGTCGTCCTCGGTCTTGAGGATCTTGGCGACGGCGCCGGTGCGCGTCGGATTGAGCGTCTGTGCCTTCTGCACTTCGTCGAGAATGTCGTCGAGATAGGTTTCCTCGAGCTCCTTGGTGAGCTCTTTGGTCACCTTGCCCGCCGACGGATCGGCGGCTCGCAGCTTGGCTTGGATGCTTTTGATTTCCATGGCAGCGTAAAAGTTGCCGGCGCTGTCCATCGCCCACCTGCGCAGCTTGGCAGCCGACGAGACACGATTGTCGGGTGTGGTGATGAGGTAGACCTGACTGCTGCCATCGGTAGCGGCAGCTTCTGCCGGCGCGTCGGTGGGCTCGGAAAATGACGGTCTAGGCGATTGACGCAGATTCTCGGCGCCGGAACTGTTGGATCTGCGGCGATTCGACTGCCTGAACACGGCGTTTTCGCCATCGTCGTCGTAGCTGCTGCTGGATCCGCGGCGACCCCATGGTTTGGTGACGGGATGCTCCGAGTTGGACAGGTCGGCGTCCTCAAATGACGCGGTGCGTGGCTTGGCCTCGGCGCTGAAGAGTCGTACACTCAAGCCATCCGAGACGGCGCCTTCGCGGTAAGGGCCTGTCTTGTCGTAGAGCGTGCCCTCGACGGTTTGAGGCGTTTGACGCTTGGCTAATCTGAGCGGTGGTGCGCGTGGTGAAGTGCTTCTGATGATGGGGGACCGAGGGGGCGGGACACGCTCTGAAGGCAGCACCGGACGCAGATCTTGTGCGCTGAGTGGGCCTTTGCCTTCGAGCGCAGCATCGGAGAGCGAGGCCTGCATGCCGACGGCTTCGTCGAGACCATCTTCGGCGTCGTCGAGATCTGTGCTCGGCTCGGTGGTGGCAGCAGCGGCAGCAGCAGCCTCTTCGAGATTGGACCTCAAGCGGCGCAGATGGGGCCGAGCGGCTTCGTCGAGGTCAAGTGTGGCGAGGGCAGGCTTGGTCTTTTTGGTCTGCGGCGAGTCTTTGGTGCGTTTCTTGTGCGGGCCCGATCTGGGCTTGCTCGACTTGATCTTTTCCTTCTTCTTGGATGCACGCTCGGCATGCGGGGGAGAGGATGACTGCTTGTGCCTTTTCGGTTTGTCCTCTGCGCTGTCGCTGTCTTTGGAATCGGCGGTTGGCACATCGACGCGACTTGTCTGACCGCTGGCGGGGTGGATCTGGGCGAGGGGGCGAAGGAAGGGAGCGGCATCTGAGGAAGCGGAGGAGCGGCGTCTGGGTGTGTGGATGCCAATGACGGTCTCATGTCGATGGAAGGCGGCTTCGGGGCCGTTTGAAGAGAAGCGGCGGGGCCTTGAGGAGGGGTTGGTGAGATCGAACGGTGTCATGGGCGGAGTGATGGCCTCGGAGGGCCTTCTGCTGCGACCGCTGGCACTGTAGCGTGAAGACCTGGAGCGGCTGGATCGGTAGGATGTGCCACTGTCGCTGTAATCATCTTCGGAGCCGGAAGAGTAGGATGAGAAGGCGCCGCGGCTGCCGCGGTGGCCGCTGCGGCTGCTGATGGCACTTGCGACCCTTTCCCAGCTAAAGAGTCCGGAGAAGCGCTGCTTGTCGTATTGCCTCCATCGCTCGTGGTCCTTGCCGAGAAAGAAGGTGGCAGCTTTTGGAGCGTTGAAGCCGGGGCGGCCGGAGGGGCGGATGACGATAGGGGCGCGAACCGCAAGACCGGTAGGAACGGAAGAGGAGGGATGGTCGGCGAGTGCATCGAGCTGCTTGGGTGGATAGTGGTTCTGTAGCACACGAGCCGTGGTGGTGCCGGACGGGTTAGCGCGTCGACGCGCTGAGGTTGGGGCGACCACGGACGGCGTGGGCGTCGCTGCCTCCAACGCTGGCGTTGCTGCCATCGCCAAGGACGCGTCGGCTGCGACGGCGGTGGCGGGCCGATCTGTAGGTGGGATAGCCATGGCTTACGCTGCGGGCCGGGGGACTGTCATACGTTGGGCCAGGCGAACAATGGAAGGATCGGCTCAAAGGGTGGGCTGTAGTTGTCGTGTGAGTTTGGTGGCGTGCCTTCTGGATGTAGACGATGCGAGTGATCGGGCTATGGACATACGCCTTGGTGCTCTCTCGAAGTTGAATACCGGCTTCCTCGAGCGTGCGCGAATCCTAGCGGCTGGCGACTGGCGGGTGCGAGTGATGGTCGTGAGGGTATTGTGAGGCGGTGGACGGAAAGGGGGGAAGATGATGCAGTTGACTGGATTGCCAGCGAGAATGTACGCGAGGGGTGGCGTTAAAGATGACGGCTACGATAAGATTCGTGGAGCTGAGCGTTGCGGAGGACAGCAGTGACGGTGAAGTGGAAGCTCGAGAGTGCGGAGATCCGATTCCGCCAAAAATAGTATTTAAAACTCCGGAGATGCACTTTAAGCGCAAGGGCGCGGTTAGATCCGAGGAATAAAAGACTCGAGGCGGTGCGAAAGGGTGGGCGGACGTCCGATGTGTCTGCGATGGGCAAGTGGATGGGCGTCGATTTGAGATGATGGAGGTACATGAAGAGGAAGCAGCAGACTGGGACGCCAGCACCAAGTGGACATGGTCAATCGAGCGCGCAAAGGAGCGGGCCAGCCGGAAAGGTGGACAACGGCCAAGCCACATTTGGCGACTGGTGGATCGGACATCATCGCACCTCGCACCGCCCGCACATGGATACGCACAGGCGACGAGCCGGGCCGAACGATGCTCGGAGCACAGGCCCGAAAGCTCTAAAGATCTGGCGAGACCGACTCGACTCGATTGGATTCGGCTCAGCTGCAGCGCGCTCTGAAGCCGGATGGATGGCAAGAAGCGCCCAGGGTTGTCCTTCCGAAACCATCGCCTCAGCCGGGGGTCTACTCCGAAAAGCGGCCTCTGCGCAGGCAACAAGAAGGGATATGACTGAGCAACGCGGGCCAAGTCAGCACCGAAGTGTGACGTCTCGCTGGCTGTCGCACTTGGCACTCTGCAGCCTCCACTTGTGCCGAATTTCCAGCGGCAGAAGCGCGGAAGGGCCGAGTGGCGCTTGAACGCGGCACACGACGTTGCACTTCGATCCTCGTCCCTTGTCCTCGCTTCGCTTCGCGCGGGCAAAGCGCCATCCGTCGTCGGTTTCCAGACTCAGCACCAACACGAATGCCACGGTCTCGATCGGGACGATCCGAACCGAATCCGCTTCTCGCAGTGGCTTCCGACGTGGCCGGCTCGCAACGCTGGAAGCGAAGATGGCACGTGGACGCGAAGGCGCATCGTGGGGGCGCAGATCGGGCTGGGATCAGACCGATGGCTTCCAACCCGCCAGCCACCTCACGGCGAAACTAGCGAAAGCCAGGCCTGGCAGGAGCGTGCATGGCGCTTTGGCGCGCGAGGGTCCGCCGACACACTAGATTTGCTTAGCCGGTTCAAGTGTGCCATTTGGACCTCCTTTCCTGTCGATGCTGCAGCTGCCTGTTGAGCGAGCATGAGTAGAGCGTCTGGACGGCATTCTTGACGCGCTCCAGCGACGCCTCGGGGCATGTGTGCTTTCTTTGCCAAAATTGTGTTTGTATCTGCTCCTTTTTTTGAATTGACGGCTCGGGTCTATTTTGAAATGCCTGGTCCTTCAGGCTCCGGTAAATACGGCGCGGAGCTGCAGAGCCAGCCGACCGGACATCTGCAGCCCG